AAAATGATAAAAGGTTTTCAAAATTTTTTACAAATAAATATCTGAAAACTGTGGCGTGCATTTGTATTCAGCCCCCTGAGTCAATACTTTGTAGAACCACCTTTCGCTGCAATTACAGCTGCAAGTCTTTTTGGGGATGTCTCTACCAACTTTGTACATCTAGAGAGGGACATTTTTGCCCATTCTTCTTTGCAAAATAGCTCAAGCTCTATCAAATTGGATGGAGAGCATCTGTGAACAGCAATTTTCAAGTTCTGCCACGGATTCTGAATTGGATTTAGGTCTGGACTTTGATTGGGCCATTCTAACACATGAATATGCTTTGATTTAAACCATTCCATTGTAGCTCTGGCTGTATGTTTAGGGTTGTTGTCCTGCTGGAATGCGAACCTCTGTCCCAGTCTCAAATCTTTTGCAGACTCTAACAGGTTGTCTTCTAAGATTTCCCTGTAATTAACTCCATCCTTCTTCCCATCAACTCTGACCAGCTTCCCTGTCCCTGCTGAAAAGCATCCCCCACAACATGATGCTGCCACCACGTTACACTGTGGGGATGGTGTGTTCAGGGTGATGTGCAGTGTTAGTTTCCTGCCACACATAGCGTTTTGCTTTTAGACTAAAAAGTTGAATTTTGGTCTCATCTGACCAGAGCACCTTCTTCCACGTTTGCTGTGCCCCCCACATGGCAAATGGGACTTCTTATGGCTTTCTTTCAACATTGGCTTTCTTCTTGCCACTCTTCCATAAAGGCCAGATTAGTGGAGTGCATGACTAATAGTTGTCCTGTGGACAGATTCTCCAACCTGAGCTGTGGATATCTGCAGCTCCTCCAGTTACCATGGGCCTCTTGGCTGCTTCTCTGATTAATGCTCTCTTTGCCCTGTCAGTTTAGGTGGACAAACATATCTTGGTAAGTCTGCAGTTGTGCCATACTCTTTCCATTTTCAGATGATGGATTGAACAGTGCTTTGTGAGATGTTCAAAGCTTGGGATATTTTTTATAACCTAATCCTGCTTTAAAGTTCTCCACATTTTCCCTGACCAGTCTGGTGTGTTCCTCGGCTTTCACGATGCTGTTTATTCACTTACAAACCTTTGAGGGCTTCACAGAACAGTTGTATTTATACTGAGATTAAATTACACACAGGTGGACTCTGTTTACTAGTTAGGTGACTTCTGAAGGCAATTGGTTCCACTAGATTGTAGTTAGGGGTATCAGAGTAAAAGGGGCTGAATATAAATGCACGCCATACTTTTCAGATATTTATTTGTAAAAAATGTTGAAAACCATTTATCATTTTCCTTCCACTTCAAAATTATGTGCCACTTTGTGTTGGTTTATCAGATAAAATCCCAATAAAATGCATTTACATTTTTGGTTGTAACATGACAAATTGTGGAAAATTTCAACAGGTATGACTACTTTTTCAAGGCACTGTATATGGCAAAAAGAATTAAACACAGATATCTTACTAACAAAATCTCCAACTTAATAGATGTTAAAAACAGCTACAGACATCGAACATATTGCCTAAACTTTCTGGAAATATTACTCGTCTCTATAAAACGTAAAATGTGATGGATGTACACTTCAACCTATCTCCAATGAAATACAACAATTCCTCGAACACCTTTCACTATCCAAAGTTAACAAATTTGAGCTTGAAAGTCTGTCTCACCCAATTACTAGTCCCATGATCTCAGCAGTCATAGATATTTTGCCATCCTCTAAAACACCTAGTATTGTTGGGTTTCCTAACAAGTATTTTTAAAAATGTAACTCCTCACTTGGTGGCCATTTATAACCTAGCATTGCCTACAGGTCAATTTAATAGAGAAATACTGCAGGTAATGATCACCACCATCCCCAAACCAGATTAGGGCCCTAGCCTCCCCAGCAATTATAGGCTAATCTCACTTCTTAACTCAGACATCAAAATTACTATTCGTGAATGGGGAAAGCCTGATCCCAGAAAACTCTGATCCTACTGGGAATCATCGTTTTTACCTTTCCAAACCTCCCCGCTTGCAGGCCTGATAAGCGACACTTTACCTACATCACATTACCTCTCAATACAAGCCACTATCGAGGCAGCCTGGAACCTCTCCTCTACGTCTTACATACTACTTCCCCTTCAATTAGTTCAGATTCCCACAGAACAATTATAACTGTACATCCCTGTTTAAACATGATTTCTTGGATTCAGTTGCACATTTGTACACTTCAGGATCTCACCAGCAACCGGAAACTGAAATCCTCTGCTGAATGCCAATAAACCTATCACTTACCTATATCAGAGTATTACCATTATATATAGATCTCCCATGTATACCAGAACCAACCTATCCAACTGTCGTATTTACATCACTTCTATGAATTCAGCTCTTTTACAACTAAAGGTATATCATTCTTCTCTCAAAAACTGGGTAACACTCGCAGGTTCTCGAAAACTCCTAAAATAATAAAATGGGAGAATGCCGCCGACCATAGCATCACTAAATGGCAGGCAGCCATCAGGATGTCTCTTAACTCCATTTTATGTGCTGATCACTGGGAATTATTGCTACAAATAGTACATAGATGGTACATTACACCCTGCAAACTTTCTAAATACCCAATTCCACCCAGTGTTAGAGGGATTGTGGTATCCTGGACTCTATTATTCATATATGTGGTATTGCAAACCTCTATATGTCCTACTGGAATCAAACTCATATCAAAATGTACAACTTTACCACTTCCCCATTCCAATGAGTTAACAATTCTCCACCTTAAAATAGACACTGTATCCCCGGCTTCTATCATTATTATCGTTCACATTCTCCTTTCAACTAAATTCAATAGAACATGACACTGGAACTTCTCCATTACTCAAGGAATGATAAAAATGATTAGGGAGGTGAACCAAAATTAAGCGTATGAGAGCATTTTCGCCATGAAAGATAATTCTTTACCTAAATTTCATACATCTTGGGCTTTGTGGCTCAACCATCAATATCTCTTTATATCTCTTCAGACCTACAACTTATAATGTATCTGTACCTTGGCTGAAATCAGTGAGGACTCCTCTTAACTTATAACCTCGAGCCCTTAACTTCTTCTACCTAGATGCCTATGAGATATGCACCTCCTAAATAACTACTCTGACATGTTATGTTGTTAAGTATAGACTCTCTGGGGTTGATTTACTAGAGAGTGCAAAATCTGGTGCAGCTGTGCATGGTAGCCTTAGTGGGATTTTATGTGGCCCTGATGCACTGGATTACTATGGTGACTGTCAAGCAAGTTAAAGAAATAAAGTTTTACAAACATTAAGGTGGTGTGCTTGGACATATATGCCTGTAATTTCTAGCAAGAAAATTAATTGACTGTGAACTTTGCAGAAGACAAGCAGAATTGAGAAATATCCAGCTACCCCCAACCTTAAATGAGCACACTAAAACTGATGGAAATACGGCCACTTCAGCAGGGATCGGCCCAATTTCGATCAGTGAGTGGCAGTTCCCAATCGACAGAAGTCAATCATTTGATCAACTTCTGAAGAAGGAAGATGTTGCAAAATGTTCCTCAATTAGGTACTGCACCCAGTCAGCAGCAGCTGCTCAACGGTGTATTCTAGCAGCAGTAGATGCCATTGTTAGAATACAATGTCCTGGCAGCTGGGATTCCTCCATCCACCTTGTTTGTGTGGATATAGGATTGGACTATTTCTTTATTCAAGTCTACTGGCTGGAAAAAAAAAAAACTAACTGTGTATGGCCAGCTTTAAAAAAAGACAATTTCAATGAAATTTACAGCAAAGAAATTTTACCTTCCTGTAAAGTTTATGTGAGGAAATTCCTGATTGTCACCAGGGTCACCAGAACAAGTGTCCCCATTGAAAGATATCCCCATTATTCTTGTTCTGGGGACAATCCAAAATTTTAAATGTTCTTTTACTTTCACTTTTGGTGATAATGGTAAACAGAATATACAGAGAGGGTGAATCTTCCTAACAGGGGCACAGACAGCAATAAAAACCTGACAGATTTTCTAATCCCTTTTCACTCTATCCAAAACTTAAAAAAAAAAAAAAAAGTTTGCCTTTAGTTATACTTTAAGTACAGTGCTGGATCTATAGTCTTGCATTGGATATGAGGACGCTGAAGGGCAGTTCACAAGATGGATTGTAGGGGCGTAGAGGCAAGCCCCAACTGCCGGGAGTTGGGACCAGGTAAGTAACACTGCTTTTTCCATTCCCCTAGACATAGTATACAAGCATGTAACCATTGCAGTGTGGGGGCAGCCCCACTGCAAGGGAGATTTTTGTTTTCTCCCCCCCCCCCCCCAAGATCTTCTTCAAGCAGTTGCTGCTGAGGAGGGGGTAAACTGCATGGACAACACACAGGATGATTTCAAAGATATGGCGTTCAGAAACAGCCTAGTGAATTTGAAGCTACAATTAGTAATTTAATGTAATTAATGAAATACATGAATACATAAATTAGTAAATACTGGCCTCATTACAGATGAATAAGCTATCTAGTAAACTAATACTAACATGACTTCATGGTGTTTTAAGAAAAAAAGGGCAATTTATAATTTAAATAGTGTGTGTATATGACTGCCGATTGCATGACTACTACTCTGTGTATAGAATAAAGAAAACTATCAGGTCAAATGAAGACAGCGACAGCTAGTAGTGCTACCTGAGTGAGTATAAGGCTCTTATATACATAGACAAAGATGGCTTTGTGCATTGTGTGTACACACTGAAGATGAATAGACAACAGAAAATAAAAACACTAGAATGATAGTCAATTTTAGCTAGATGTGTTTGAATTAACCTGCGCTGTACAGGGATATTTACAGTATCCTGTACAAAAGATACTGAGAAGTGAGACTCATTTCTGAAAACTAGTGCAAATGCAGCAATCATTCCTAGCAACCAATCCATTTTTTTTCATTTTCTAAACTGCAATAGAAACATGGAAACAAACTTGGGATGTTATGACCACCACCAAAGTGTTACATATTTACAAATTACCTCCTCTAAGTTTTTTCTGATCCCTTGTAATTGGTGAGCTTGCTCTGGGTCAGGACTCTCATGCATGTTGTGACGCCACTGTTGTTTAGCCGCCTTAAGCAGAGTCTGCCGTCGGCTCATAGAATGAGTTTGCCGCCGTAAAATATCTTTAGCTTTATCTATAGATGCTCCGTGGGAGGAAATGTAATAACGCAAGCTATAGAATAGAAAAAATAATGACCTGAACATTAGGCAAATATAATAAACCAAACTAAAATGGATTAAAGCGGAGTTCCAGCTGTTTAATTAATGTTTTTCTAAAGGCACCCACGTGAGAGTGGCAGCTCAGGCAATGCAAGTTGAGATCACCTGTACTTGTAATCCTTTGCTTTCCTTATAAAAAATAAAATTACTTACTGCACCCTCATATTGTGAATGCTGTCATCTTAAGTGTGGGCACCTGAAGCTCGCTCTGACATTCTTCCGGGAAATTGTGCAGCTGGCTACCCAGCATGCACTTCCTGTTCTCGCTTCTGCACAGTGTAAAGAAGGCACGGCACTTTCTTGTGCCTGCACAGTGTGAAGAAGGAGCAATCTTGCACCTGCGCAGTGTGAAGAAATCCCTGCTATCATGTCATTTTCGGTCTCATAATAACACGAGATTTTGTTATTAGGCATTCTCTAGGACTGCTGGGATAGCTGAAGAAGCCCTAGGGAATGCCTGATGATGTAATCGACTAGGCTGCTGGGACCGGAAGTGGAGACAAAAATTATCAATTAAAGGTGTTTAGGAAAAAAAAAATATACATATATATATATTGCCAAAACGGACTGTGAAAAGGGAGACTATTGTCTTTCAGGGGAGAAAAAAAAAAAAGTCTGGAACTCCGCTTTGAGTAAAAATGGAAGCATACAATGTACAAGTTCAATCTACAGAAAGGCTAGAGATCAAGTATCATCTACTTTAGATGTTAAAGAGGGAGACAAAGTCTAACATGTTACTGATCTCAGTTATGCAATTTTGTACCCTGTAGGTTTCTCCTTTTCGTTCAAATTCAGCATGAATATGTTAAGGATAAGAATGTAGTAAAGAAAATAGTTGGTTTTACTATAAAAATTTATAGAATCAAATGTGGTAACTTTTTTTATTGGTTATTACAACAAGTGAGGATAAGTATCCTTTAAACATATATGCAGCCCTGCAATAGGCATATCCTGAGCGACAAAATTATGACTATAAAAACGCAATTCTTGTTAAAAATAATCCCTTGTGCTGCCAGTAGGGACAGGCAAGTATTCAGAGATAAGAAGTGGAGGTGGGACCGGCATTAGGCTAGTTCAGCAATGGGCAAACTACGGCCCGCGGGCCGTACATGGCCCGGCGGACCTTTTAATCCGGCCCGCGGATGTGGCTGTCAGGATGTGTGTAGGCGGGGCAGCGTGACGAATGTGAGGGGAGGGGAGCTAGGCTCCTCTCACAGTCCGCCCTGAAGACCAGAACGGCGCGGGAACACGGCGAGAGGAACGCGCGGAGCAAAGGTAAGTGAATTGACACGGGGGACTTGGCTTACTACTTGGGGGGAATAGTACTATGGGGGATGAATTAATATGGGGAATGAATTACTATATGGGGGATGAATTACTATATGGGGATAAAATTAATATGGGGGGGATGAATTAATATGGGGAATGAATTACTATAGGGGGGATGAATTACTATAGGGGGGATGAATTACTATAGGGGGGATGAATTACTATGGGGGATGAATTACTATGGGGGGATGAATTACTATATGGGGGATGAATTACTATAGGGGGGATGAATTACTATAGGGGGGATGAATTACTATAGGGGGGATGAATTACTATAGGGGGGATGAATTACTATAGGGGGGATGAATTACTATAGGGGGGATGAATTACTATAGGGGGATGAATTACTATATGGGGGATGAATTACTATATGGGGGATGAATTACTATATGGGGGATGAATTACTATAAGGGATGAATTACTATATGGGGGATGAATTACTATATGGGGGATGAATTACTATATGGGGGATGAATTACTATGGGGGATGAATTACTATATGGGGGATGAATTACTATATGGGGGATGAATTACTATATGGGGGATGAATTACTATGCTTACTATGGGGGAATATTACTATACTTACTATGGATGACACATACACATCATTCATCTACTCTTGGTCCGGCCCCCGGGTCCAATATATGAACCCATTACGGCCCTCAAGTCAAAAAGTTTGCCCACCCCTGAGCTAGTTTGACATCTGTGTGGGTGCAGGAGTGTGTGCAAATTGCACCTGGTCCTGTACCTGCACACAAAACGTGCTGCTTTTAAGAAAACATTCGGAGGTGCCACTAATTCTTTATGGTGTCCCCATGCACTGAAACCCAGTGTGTTCTCTCGCATCCAGAAATGCATGGTGCCAAAGCACCGTGGGGTTTCTGAGCAGCCACGTTTTAAAAAAGGTACAGCACTCCATTCAAATGCGGCACACAGAACTGTATAGATTTCAATGTAGCCTTAGGCTTTGTCACCTTGAGGCTCCATGTACACTGGTTTAAAAAAAATGTTGCTCCTAGAGGAGTTTAGCATTTTGCCTGTAGCAATAACTAATGCTATCCTATGTGTCCATGGACATTAGGTTGACTAGAGGCGTTTTTTTTAAGCTCCATGTTTAGAGGCAGACAAAAAAAAAAACCCTTCATGCTCATGATTTTGTTGTGTTGGCTATAACAAAATGTTGGACAGCAATATTAAATAAGTACAATGCAGGAACCTGATGGCTTCACATCATTGCCTGAATTTAATTAATGGCATGTAAAATGCAGGCTGATATGTAGAGTAAGACAGTGGTGTCCAATACAGAGTGGATAGCAGTATCTGCTCTCCACTATAAAAAGACCCCTTATGTTTATGATATCCTAGATTAGATTTTATTATTTGGTGTACCCTCTTAAGAGCTGTACTTAATCTATATAAAGGTTGTTTGGAAAATTGTGTTCAGCAATAGAAATTGCTTATTTGCCGTATACCGTTTTTTAAGTGGACCTATATTTAAGTGTTTATGTCTTACTAGAATTCATCAACACCTGTTAAAATGAAAAAGCTAAAAGTAAAAAACAAGAGTAACATACCGTAATCCCTGATTAAAAGCACCAGAACACTACTGCACACATGACAGTGCCTAGCCACTCTCCATTATTCTTGCCTTATCGGGGCCTACTAAGACTTTGACAATACCAGAGGCATATCCCATCCACTCCTGCTGTTGATTATTGGATGACACCAAAAATGTCATTAAGGGCTGGGTCAAGGAACAGGAAAGAGCTGCCTTGGGATATCTTGGTTTGTCTAGCCCCCACACAACACTGTGGATTAGATAGCAAAGTGGACCAGGGCAAAGAGCAGCTTAAGCACTATGTCATTCACAGTAGGAAGAGTATGGTTGTATGAGCCTAGGTCCACTTTAAGCCCTTTTGGAAAATTGTTATAAAAAGGCAAACCGGCCTACTCAAAGAAAATTTGGTGAACCAGTTGCTTTTAAAAGAGAAGTACAGCCAAAGCGCTTTTGGATGTTCTTCTGTAGATCGCCGGGCTGCAGTTCATTCTGTGACCTGTTTTAAGCTGAGAGTGGTCTAAAGCCCAGTCCAGGCTGGGGAAAGATCCTGTCACTCAGCTGGTCCAGACGAGGGAAAGATCCCGACTTTAAAGTCCGGATCCAGCCCAGAGTCTGCAGTGGCACCTGGCTCAGCCTCTCAGCGAGCCACAGTGCCTGAGCCAGTCTCCCCCTTCACAGCCCAGCACTCCAGAGAGTGTGGGGCACAGAGCGGTCAAGTGATCAGCGGTCAAGTGATTGCGGAGTTCTCACACTTAGAGCCGACGGGGGATAGATGCAGTATCAGACCGATACTGCAACCACCTAGGTAAGTATGTTTTTTGTTTTTTTTTTAAATTCTCCTACTTCTCTTTTAATGTCAATTATGTGTTGGTGTATGTAAGAAATTGATTCTGTGATATATTTAATTTCATTCTTACAGGAAAGTAAACACCATTGGGCAGATGAACAAATATAAATGTACAATAAACTTTTGAATAGATTATTATTATACAGTATTTATAAAGCGCCAATAGTTCACTCAGCGCTGTACATTACACAGGGGGACAGAACATGTGACAGAACAATACCAATACAATGCAAAACATGAGGGGATCAAGGACCCTGCTCTTTCGAGCTTACAATCTAGGAGATTCTTGATTAGCAACAATCTCTTCATTTAATCACTCTACCAAGTCTTCTGTTAGAGATATCTAGCAATGCTTATCAAAAATGAATGGAAAACAAAATCAATATTGTACCACTACCTAAGATAATAGAGATCAGTGGCACTTACTCATCCATGGCAGAGGGCAATTCTGGGATTGGTGTAGAGAACAGAGTTGGTTTTGGAATGTCTGCATAATACTGTAAAATTGGGGGAAAGAAACAAAAATTAAAGTAGAGTAAAATCACTTTTTACAAATAATTTACTTTTTTTCATATTTTTTCATTCTTTGTTGCATCTCAATTCTGTTGAACTCCTTCAGCCCATTTATAGCCACTTCCTGTCTAGATGCACGCACTTCAACAATGACTGAATGGCATTTCTCAGGGCAAGTTTCCTGATGGTGAAAACAGTGGAGCATACAGTAACTGTATAATATGAACTAGCATAGCTCAAAAGTCTCCACTGGAAGCTTGTGCAACAGAGGAACAAAGCAGAAGCAGCACTGGGAGACAGGGACAGAGTTCTGGCACCCCATAAACAGGAAGTGCTTCAACAAAATATTCAAGGCAGGATGACCACGTAATGTTTTTTAAAAATATGAGATTGTGTTTACATATACATTAACTGACTGCCGCCCTCCTACAGTAGTTCTACTGCGAACAGGCCGCAGCTCCAGGCTGGGCAACGTACCTGTACGTTGTGATCCTTCTTTCGATTTCACAGAGCATGTGCGCACCCCCCTTGCTGACCCGTGCTGTGATTGGACACAGCACAAGTTTGGCAGCTGATTTCAGCCAATGATTTTGGCTGAAGTCAGCTGATCGGCTGTGTCCAATCACAAACAGAGTTCTGTGTTTACAAAACACAGAACTCCGTGTATAGGGAAAAGCGATCTGGCTGTTTATTCTCTGTGAAAAGTAAAGTAAAAGCAGCACATATAACACACATTACACATTAAGCACACAGTTAAAACTTTGATTGCCCCTAGATGTTAACCCCTGCCCAGCCAGTGTCATTAGTACAGTGACAGTGTACAGTATTAGCACTGATCCCCTGTATTAGTGTCACTATTGATGTCAGTGTCAGTTAGTCAGTTAATGTACTTCCCAGCCAGCGTCAGCTAGGGCCAGATTGCCTGTCACACTATCACAGTCCTACTATAAGTCGCTGAACACTGCCATTACTAGTACAGTGTCAGAGCTGAGTAAATTCCAGTATATATACACCATAGTTTGTAGATGCTATAACTTTCAAACAAACCAATTAATATTCACTTACTGGGATTTTTTTTTTTACCAAAGACATGTAGCAAAATACATTTTTGAAGAAATTTGATTTTTTTTTTATTGGATATGCTTTATAACAGAAAATACCACAACCCAAAATGATCCAGCGCCACATCTGTGTTTCATTATGCATGCACAAATACATAAAATATAAATATTAAAAATTCAGCAAAAAACAGAACAAAGTCCTCGTGGATTCCAATGATAATACAAAAGATGTGAAAAAGGAAAGAAAGGGGTGGGAGCAGCTGGCTCAGGCTATCAGTGGCACACTGAGAGGCTGAGCCAGCTGCCAGTCAGAGATCTGGGTGGATCTTGACAATATTGTCTAGATCCTTTGATAGCCTGAAGCAGCTCTGTAAAATCAGCCGACAGCAGGCTTTAGCCTGTTGTTGGCTGATTGTGGGTCACAGGAGTGCAAAAGTAAGTGCACTCCTGTGACCCACATGAGATGTAAGAACTAACAAGCTTTGGGCAATTGTTTCTGATTTCTCCATGCTATTAATACAAGTAATGATAGTAATCAGACAATGGACTGCTTTTCACATACCTTTCTTTATATTTTTCTACATATTTTTATCTAGACTGAGTAGTCCAACAAACATTATTATTATTATACATTAACTGCATGCAGTTATCAGAGTACACACTTTTTCCATAATGGCCATTAAGGTATGTTAAGGTTAGGGTCTTGCATACCTTATGGGGTCTACCACCGAGATCTATGCAGTGGAAGTCTTAAAAGAATGCAATGATCACTCAATGCACCCAGAACAGTTACAGCATAAACAAGCCTAACAATGTCTTGCTTACAATCAAACATCTTTGAGGCTGGGAAGCAGTAAAGAAAACGCACTCTGTTTCACAGTTAATAAAACATATTGCTCCCCTTCTGAAACTGCATATTAGGGTGTAATCATATTTAAAGAAAAATAAATATATATTTACAGGAATGTTACAGGTATGATTTGGGCTGTTCGTCTTTGTCAGATCCTCCAGCTGAAGTTCTGAATCCATTTTGTTCATCAATTCTTCTTTGCTGAACTCTTTTAGTTTTTCATGGCTGCTTTTTATTTCACCTTCCAAGTCACTATAAATAAATTATTAGTTTATTAAACTACAATGCTACATACATTTGGAGGTATATTACGTACAATATGTGCACACAAGACCATTTTCTTATGGTTTTGGTTTGGCATACTTTGGCAGAGAAAAATCCAGTAAATGGAGGGCTGCAGGTACTGTGCACACATGCCTGTGGTAATACTGCAATAAATGATACAAATATTGATGCAGCGCAACTTAAAAAAAAAAAGTGTCTTTTACATAAATGTGTCCTAAACAATGAAACAAAAACATAGTCCATAAATATGTATTCATTTATTTAACAGACATTGTTTTAGTTGCACTGCATGATTAGTATCATATTTTGGAGGAGTGGAGTGAAAATGCCTAATAGTGCTGAGCAACAACTAAAAATTTCACATATTTGTGCGCACTTTGATCTGCTTGTGATTTATGTACATCAGGTTTATATGTCACAAATAGTTTATATTATTTTGCATTATTAGTGGCTGCACAGATTGTCTTTCACTAAATACTGCAATTAAAGAGAACCTTCAAGCAATCCACTAAACACACAGATGATATAAATACACAGAAGCTGCTTTACCTGCCAAAGGATTTGTATTGCTCATCATACAGTTGATATACCTAGCTCTGTTACACAGCACGCCCCTTTCTGGCGGCCCTATTCATTTATATTTTGTGCCCTAGTGCAAGAATTTATTTCTTCATATATTTCTATTATTTTATATCATTATCTGTTTTTGGTCATGTTTTCATTTGTGTCTTTCATATCTGCTTGAAGGTTATATTTTAAAAAAGCTATGCAAAAAATGTATGCTGTACAAAGTCCAGAGAGTTACCTTGCTGTCTCTTGGAGGCGAGTGTAGATGCTCTGGAGTTGCTCCACTTGGGTTTCCAGCTCAGATTTCCGGCCTTGCATCAGCTCTAATTCTCTGCGTGTTTGTTTTATTAAATCATTTAGACATCTTTGCTCTTTTACTGCATTCTCTTGCAAATTAACACTCTTTGTAGGTGGAAAAAAGTAAAACAAATGATGTCATGTTCTGTAGTTTTAAAAATTAATATATATTCACACAACAGATATACTTACTTCTGTCTTCCTTTCTAGTTCCTTTTCTTTCTCTGCTAGTTTTTCCTTTCTTATTCTTAATGCTTCTTCCTGTATATCAGATAATTCGAAATTGCTAAACCACCCAAGCACTTTTCATTATTTCACTATTTAAAACATGTCCTACCCCCTTTTCATTAGCAAGCACAAAACATGTTGATGCTGTGACAAATAGAAAAGATGTTTATAGGTTTACTGTAAAATCATAGGTTCCCATTTACGACGTGCATTTTGGAACTTCATTTCTAAAATACTTTGATAGATTAATCTGCTGTACCCCCATGTTTTGCCCTTACCAGATATGAGCTTGGGTGTGAGTGTTTTTATTGCTGCTAAAATGCCATTACTGTAACCTGAAAATCTGATGGCCTGCTATGGCTTACTGCACCTCATCATTATTGTTTAAACTAACAGCTAATATCTGATGATTTTTTTGCACAGAAATAGACAATTTCCAAGACATAAAAACATTTTCAATGGGACCTGAACTGTGGAAGTGGTGTTCAAAAAAGGCAAGCAGAGGGCAAAAGACTGACCAGTATTGTATATAGGCTTCTTGCAGCTTATCTTCTCCCCATTACTGACTTAAGTGGTTGTAATCCCTTACACATAGCCAGTAAAGTGACTGCCCTAAGGTGATACACACAGATGAAACTAATCCTCCTACATAAGTTGTACTGATCTATATGCAGCTGTCTTTCCCCCTAGATCTATTCAAAGTGCAAAATTTACACAGGATCTCTCAGCTCTGAAAATCAGGGGCGGAGAGCTGAAGATATACTCAGCAAGGAGAGCACTGAGAGCTGATTGGAGGGAAGGGACACCATCCCCTTCACACAGCACACAGGAACAGAGCTGAGTCTGTCAATCTGCTGGAGGTCCCTCCGCTGTCACCATTTTTCTACTGGTATCAGGAAACTTTTTCCTAAGTGATTCATGCTTATTACAGAGGAATGAGGTGGCAGACAGAAAAAACACTTAGTACTCTGGACTGAGTAAAAGTACACACTATAGAGGAATATGTTTTGCTCATATTTCTATGTCTGAGGTTTACAACCACTTTAACATAATTTGTTCTACATGCTGGGCCTCAGTGTGGAATTAGACATCTTGGTAGTGAAGCAGGGTTTTGCTTCCTCTTTTCAGAAATGTAGCGCTGAAGACTGGTGATCTGATGACTGGTGGAGGGAGAAACAAGAAGCAGTGTGAGAGGTGCAGAAAGCACAGATCCACAGAATGAATGAACCAGAAAGCAGAGATATCCTTGTCCTGCAGGTCATCAGAGAGTTTTCCCTCAAGCAAGGTGAACAGTGAACAGCACAGTAATGACAGCAGCAAATCTCACTCCAAATCATCTGAGACTAGCAGTCACATAACACTGCACATATACAGTTATGAGACTTAGGGAAGAAAAATGCCTAGGCACAGGAAGCACACTGAAATTTTCTTAGAAGGAATTTAAAGTGTAAGTTCACCTTCAGGAAGATTTTCCAAAAATCCCCCTCCAGGCCATTCAACCGGCGCATGTGTACTGAGTGCCCTCTTCTGGCTTCAGCTTAGTTTACAAGTGGCTCCACTGGGCTGTTTAAACTCAGGCAGTTTAAGCAGCCACTGCTAAACTAAGCTGAAGCTGGGAGAGAGTGTAATGCGTATGTGTACAGTTTGAACAGCTTGGAGCAGTCATAATGGGGGCACATTATTGTGATATTGAACCCATTCTGCATATGAGGGGGCAACGGATTTTTTGGAGAGGCCCCCCAAAAGCTGCATGTGTAAAGGAAGGAAACCATAGAGAAGTGCATGGTGTATTCCTTTATGATAGGATTTCCCTGATAATTTAAGGTGGGTTATATTGTGAAAGTTCCTTATTGGTCCATATTAGATGGCGTTATTTTGAAAATGACCCTGATGTTCTTATATTGTAGAACCTTTGAAGGGGAAAACCACTCTTTTAGTTGTAAATTAGTTGCTTGGGACCAAGACATAATATATAAAGCCTTGAATCCTTGGGTGTATTTTTTGTGCCTCTAAGGTAGGCTGGGTTTAGATAATTTTTCATATAATGTACCCTAGAGGACATGAGATCAAAGGACTCACCATTGTGTTTCTTACATTTTAGACATCTATTGGGATAGGATGATACTCTACTATTTGTCCCTTTTGCGTTTTCTAGAAAATACATATTCATAATAGCCACTGATCCCACTCCACTGGCAGATTGATGGTTGTTTTCAGAGGTAATGAGTTTTATTAGCCTCCCTGTTAATGTGAATATTTTTGAATAAATATTATCATTATCTATACTTACAGGCATTTTGAGCCTTAGTTAATGTGTGATGCACCAGTTCCGCATGTGTGCGTGTGTGTGTCCTCTGGGCTCTCACTGGGTACCCTGCTTTTGCTCTGCCCCCTTTCCCCTCCGTGAGCCCCCCCCCCCTCCTATTTTTTGAGCATCTCTCAGTTTTCTTCTTTCCATCTTTGAAAGTGGGGTGTAGTTTTCCATGTAATGAACTTATATTATTTGTACTAATTTTGATTATTGTTATTTTTCTAGAATATTGATTTATAAATTGGATCGTGAACAAGTGGACACATCAAGCCATTTCTTTGCACATTACTTCTTGAATCTGATATATCGTATGAGTGAAATATTCTTTTATTGTATAAAAATGTTGTTTTTATATATGGATGAAATAAAAATGTGTTTCATGAAGAATGGTGTGCCTCAAAACTCCCATCTGACTACTATTTTTGATACTGCGATAGATTTAGGTATGTGGTATATGTATTTTTTTTTAACCACTTCTTTTGACCTAAAACAATGGACATATGCTTCTACTCACTCGAATGGTAACTGCCACAACCTTTTATTCTCCTACCTATGTACTCCTTGCAACCTCACCAACTTTCCTCTTCCTCTCTCTGATCACTCCCTTATTAGCTTCACTCTTTCCTTGGCTTCCTCCTCCTTGTCTTCCAACTACCAAACAGTTACCTGTAGAAACCTTTGTTATCTTAACCCTGCTCTTCTGTTTTCAGCAACAGATTGTCTCTATGACAAAATCTCAGCCCTGTCCTGCCCCAACCTGGCCACTTCTGTCTACAACAGTTCACTGTCATCCACCCTGGACACATTGGCCCTCCTCAGTACACACAGAATTAGGCTCCGACTGCTACAGCCCTGGCAAACAGACAATACCAGATGTCTCAAAACACGTAGCCGTGCTCTTGAGCGTTTATGGTGTAAGACTAAGACCCAGCAAGACTTCGACCAATATAAATCTGCCCTTCAAAAATACAATTCTTGTCTCCACACTGCCAAACAGACCTATTTTATCACTCTCATTAACACCCTCTCACGTAAGCCCTGTCAACTTTTTTCTACCTTTAACTCTCTACTTCGTCCTCTACCTCCACCCACCAACTCACTCACTGCCCAGGAGATCGCTAATCCCTTTCTACTGGCATCTTCCCCAACTCTCTAAAACATGCGCTAGTCACCTCCATACTTAAAAAATCCTCACTGGACCCCGCCAATCTTGGCAACCTAAGACCCATCTTCTTACTCCTTTTTGCCTCCAAAATCCTTGAACGTCTAGTCTACAACTGGCTGAGCTGCCACCTTATTGAAAATAACCTTCTCAATCCCCTTCAGTCTGGATTTTGCTCACAACACTCCACAGAAACTGCTCTCCTAAAACTCACAAACGATTTACTAACTGCTAAAACCAATGGTCACTATTCCGTACTCTTGCTCTTGGACCCCTTCCTCCTAAAAAAAGCTTTATTTATTTGGTCTCCGTGACTATACTTTCCATTGGTATGAACCTTACCTATTTCACCGCACCTTCAGTGTCACTTACAACTCTACTTCCTCCTCTCCTACTCCTCTTACTGTCGGGGTCCCCCAAGGTTCTGTCCTTGGACCTGTCCTATTCTTGATCTACACTTCTTCCTTGTGTCAGCAGATAGCTTCCCATGGCTTCCAATACCATTTCTATGCTGATGACACACACAAATATATCTCTCTACTCCTCAGCTCACCCCATTAGTTTCTACACGTATCACCGATTTACTAACAGACATATCAGACTGGATGTCACTCCACTTCCTAAAACTCAATCTATCCAAAAATGAGCTCATAATATTTCCTCCTCCAAGTGCGTCTTCCCCTGATTTCTCAGTCAGTCAGGATCAAAAGCACCACTACCCACCCATCCCTGCATGCCAAGGTGCTAGGTGTAACCCTGGATTCTGAACTATCCTTTCAGGCCCACATCCAATCCCTGTCCAAATCATGCCGCCTCAACATCTCCAGAATACGCCCCTTCTTAACCAATGATACCACAAAGCTCCTAATTCACTCCCTGGTAATCTCTCGACTCGATTACTGCAACTCCCTCCTCATTGGCTTACCTTTACATAGGCTATCCCCCCTCTAGTCCATCATGAATACTGCTGCCAGGCTCATCCACCTTACCAACAGTTCAGTGTCTGCTACCCCTCTCAATCCCTCCACTGGCTTCCACTCGCTCAACGAATAAAATTCAAAATACTAACAACAACTTACAAAGCCATCCACAATTCTGCCCCCAGCTACATCACCAGCCTGATCTCAAAATATCAACCAAACCGCTCTCTTCGATTCTCCCAAGACCTTCTGCTCTCTAGTTCCTGTGTCACCTCCTCCCATGCTCACCTCCAGGACTTCTCCCGAGCTTCTCCCATCCTATGGAACTCTCTACCCCAACCTCTCCGACTGTCTCCTAATCTATCCACCTTTAGACGATCCCTGAAAACCTCTCTCTCTTTAAAGAAGTCTATCCTGCTTCTACCATTTATTTCCTCCATCAGTTCATCCCCCCACAACTATTACCTTTTGTATCACTCAACCCTTCCTCCTAGATTGTAAGCTCTAATGAGCAGGGCCCTCTATTTCCTCTTGCACCAAATTGCATTGTAACTGTAATGTCTACCTTTCATTTGTAAAGCGCTGCGCAAACAGTTGGCGCTATATAAATCCTGTATAATAATAATAAAAATAATAATAATCTTGGTTGGATTTGATTTGGGCTGGAAAACACCCATTGTTTTCTTTTTCATTTTTAGTTTTTGTGCATAGACTAGCATACAGCAGGGTAAACAATACCTCTCAGTACCCTGCAAGTATACTCTTAATTCCTTAATTGGTATGGACGGGTTCCAATCAGGAATTGCATCAGTTTTTGCGAAGGCTGGAGGATAAGACCTTCAACCTTTCATTTACAAATTTAGCTACACAGAGTATCAATTTTTTGGATCTAAACATTTCCACTGATAGAGAGGGTAAACTTTCCACCTCTATACAGGAAAGAAACAGTGGGGAATACTATTTTCAGGACAGACAGTGCCCATCTGAGAGCACTAGTGCAATACATTCCCTATGAGCAGTACCTCCGGATTAAATGCAACTGTTCAGACCCCCAGGATTTCAAGAAAGAAGCTTATGCCCTAATGAACCAGTTATTAGCATGCGAGTAGAGTAAAAAATATTTAAAGAAAGCATATAAAAAAGGTCAGTGGATGACTGGCATTACTTCTCAGACAGTAAATATTCTATCAAAAGATACAGTCAAATTTGTGACTACCTACTCATATCATCATAATCATATTAAAGGGATGCTTTCTAAATACTGGTGCTTACTTAGCAGAGATGAGACTGTGGGTAAATCCTGAGATAGTTTATAGACGGAATACATCCCTAAGAGACAAATTAGGCTCACGAGGCACTTTAAGATGAAGCACATGTTCGGAATTTCCATTTATAAGAGAGTTTGTTGATTGCACACTCCCTAATGGGGAGCATTTTGTACCGAATTTCTACGTGAATTGTGCCACAATAGGGGTGGTCTATCTTATGACCTGCACCTGTGGTGCTTTTTACATAGGAAAGACAAAACGCCCTTTTCAAATATGCATACATGACCATGTTTATTATGTACCAAGAATTAATATTCCTATTGGGCGCCATGTAAGGCTGTTGCACAATTATAATGTATCAGTCATGAAATTCATGGCTTTGGATCGAATTATGGAAGACCCCAGAGGGGGGGATTTTGATAGAAGGGTGCTCCAACAGGAGACAAGGTGGATACATCGCCTAAAAGCCACAGTGCTGCCAGGCCCTTAAGGTAGGCTGGGTTTAGATAATTTTTCATATAATGCACCCTAAAAGACATGAGATCATAGGACTCACTATTGTGTTTCTTACATTTTAGACTTCTATTGGCATAGGATGATACTCTATTTGTCCCCTTTTGCTTTTTCTATAGAATACATATTCAAGATAGCCACTGTTCCCACTCCACTGGCAGGTTGATGGTTGTTTTCACAGGTAATGCGTTTTATTAGCCTCACTGTTAATGTGAATATTTTTGAATAAATATTATTATTATGTAGACCTACGGGCACTTTGAGCCTTGGTTAATGTGTGATGCACCAGTCTTGCAGGAGAAGACATGAGGGGGGGGGGGGGTCCTGTGACACTGTGGGCTCTCACTGGATGCCCTGCTTTTGCTCTGCCCCCTTTCCTCTCTGCTCCCCCTCCCTACTTTTTGGGTGTCTCTTAGGTCTCTTCTTTCCAACTTTGATAGTGGGGTGTTGATTACCATGTAATGAACTTATATTATTTGTATTAATTTGATTATTGTTGAATATTGATGTATAAATTGGGTCCAGAAAAAGTGGACTTTGTCTAAGAAATGCTTCAGGCCATTTCTCTGCACATTACTTCTTGAATCGGATATATCATATGACTGAAATATTATTTTATTGTAGAAAAGTGTTGCAACATTTTTTAGATGTAATGGATGGTATGTTAGTGAAATACCTTATTTTTTATACATGGATGAATTAAAAATGTGTTTTATAGAGAATGGTGTGTCTCTAAAGTCCCAGCTGATCACTCTTTTTGATACTGCAATAGATTTAGGGATGTGGCATATCTCTTTTTTTGAATTTTAGATCTTGGTTGCAAAGGGAGGACCTTCACCATTTACACCAGGAGGAGCTCTGCTTTGTACTATTCATTGGATACAGAATTGCATAGGGGGATTTTGGCAAACTCTTCCTGAAGGTGAACTTACATTTTAAGGCTCTGTTTAGACATAATTAACATTTCTAGATGTTCCCTATAAGACAGCAAATTTTAAAATCTCTGAGTTCAGGTCCACTTTAAATCCATGTGTATATTTTCTATCCAACCAGCTTTATCTTTCTTTAAAACAAAATCACATCCTCATTTCCTTTTCTTACCTCCTGCTCTAGTTGGCTTTTCTTTACCATAATTTGTTTTCTTCTAATTTCTTGGTTTTGTTCCAAATCTTCCATAATTTTTTCCTAAACAACGTGCAGGAGCAAAAGTAAGTGAGATTGTGCACCACATTGTTACTATATATTCTGTGTGAGACTTATGTAAAATGGAAAACTGTCCCATATATATGAAAACTGCAAAAAATAAAAGCTGCAATATCATCCACAGCTCTGTCAGATATAACCATATAGGTTTCAACTCAACATTTTATTGGTTGCTTTGAGCAATGTCTCCATTTTGCGAAGATTTTCTTTAAGGAGGGTGTAAGGTATAATATCCGATTTTACCTTCTCCCTGTAGCTATGCTGCCTTTCCTCCTGACGTCTTTCATGCTCCTTTCGTTGGATTTCCAGCTCCTTTTCATGCTGGCTCCCTAACTTTCCTAACTCATCTTGTAACTTTTCCAGCATCTGTGATCGCCGGGTCTGCTCCTGCAATAAACAAATCCCCATATGAGAATAGGAGCAGGCTAGACGTGAAAGTAAAACACACACAACAGAGATTCTAATCCTTCCCCAATCTATACTCACTAAATTATATTGAATAAAATATTTTACATGGCAGGCTTGTAAGTAAATGTCCTACTCACTGGTTCAGACACTTTTTGCTGGTGCCAACAAAACCTTAATTTTACCTAGGTCATGTATACAAATAAGATGGCCAGTCATGTGTAATGGGGTACTCTCTTCAAATCCCTTCACCTTTGGTAGGGGGTTTATTTGCATAGGTATAGGCTATGCAATGTTAAAAAAAAAAAGATTTACAAGCTCCCTGTTGGCACAGTATTCTTCAGTGCAACAAACACATAATTTGGAAAGTAATTTCTATATACCTCCTCTTCAAATTGCTTCCGCACTTTTTCCATTTCTTGCCTGTGTTCTTCTTTCATATGCTCTAATTTCCTTTCATGTTCTCGCTGTACCTCATTGCGTTTTTCCTGTAGGAGATCACTCATCTAGATATTGAGTCACAAATTAAGCCACTCAATTTTTGAATAAGATTTTGTTTTGTTTTTTTATAAAATCAAAGGTCAGGTACAATTTTGTATTGCTCATTTTATTACCACAACAAATATAAAATCAAATTAAGTGTAGGGCTATTGGGCAAAGTGACCAAATTCAAAATGTCATTTTTTTTCAATGCAAGCTAGACACTTTCAGAATATTTTAGAAATGTCATGTATAAATCCTACTTGACACATGTGCTACCAAGATTTCTGCCTATACAAGTGAAGGGATGGATGCTGCTCAATTGACCGCAGAAGTCCAAAGTTGAGGAATGGCCTCAGTCGCCGTACTGACCACACCCTCTAATTCATTTCTCCCCACCCACCGGAACTTGGTCACAGAGGCCTCTGAGGGCATCAGAGGGTGTGGCCAGTATGTCGGCTAAGGCCAATCCTCAACATTGGACTCCTGGGGTCAGTTGAGCAATGTCCATCCCTTCACTTGTATTGGCTAACATTGGAATCGCTCAGGCTCATGCTCCCCTCTTCTCATGTCCCGTTGGGGTGATCCTTTTCCTTCTATCCATAGTTTGGAGCTGCGCCATTAGGTATTTCAATATTTCTGCCTGTTACTATTGCTGCCCTATGGAAAGTTTTTTTTTTTTTCTTTATCATCGGCTCAACTGTCACTCAGGATTATATCAATAGAATAGGTAAGAGCCTGTTCACACTGTGTGCAGTTACCTGTATTTTTCCTCATGGGTACATGCAGATGTGCAACATGTTTGCATAATATCGTGCCACTCTGGTTGGCTGTGCATATCACCCTGCTGAAAGTGCAGCACACCCCGCTGCTGAGCAGTGACGTCAATGAAGTGTCACTTTGTGCCCTTCACATAAAAATCACTCAAAAAAAAAAAAAGGGAGCTGTGAAATGTGACAAAACGAACATCACGCCGTCCTCTGCCGCTTGGCTCTGCAGCTCAAAACACTGGTTAACCACACACTAAACTGTTCCAGTTTAGTGTGCGAGCAGAGGCATTTTGGTCTGTGGACTAGTAGGAATGGGCCCTAAATACACAACAATCTAACCTTCCTTCCGTAATCATATGCAAAAAAAAAAGTGAAAATTAATGAAGAGGAGGTGTAGCTTTTTATCAAAAAATAAAGATTTTTGAAAGGTTTTAAAAATAACAGCCTTTTTTTTTACTCAGGAACTACATAGGATAGTTACCTCTTTTTCAAAGTCCAAGACATGAAACATTTTTTTATCAGTAAGGTATAAATGACTTGGAGTTTGGGAAACTTCAGTCAGCTGCACTGAAGGTTTGGCATTCTGCAGATCAGACATTTCCTGTGCAAAAGGAATAACATGGGTGAGGAAGTGTTTCAGATTAAATTTATAGGACCTGAGAAAATAGCAACCATTACAGAAATTGTCATAGCTATAGACGAGAAGGAGAAAAAGAAAAAGCAGAAAAAGGAATATTAAAATAATGCCATTCTCACCTTCTGGTGCTTCTCTGTAGCTGCTTCTTTAAGTTGCTCCAGTTCTAGCATATGGTTATTCTCCAATAACTCAAGAGCCTACATTTCATGAGTAGAAAAAAATCAGTGAGAAGACAGCAGCAAGAATCACAGATATGCTGAATAGTTGAAATCTGCAGCGGCACACAGATTGTGGTCATTAAAAAATGATCACAGCCAAATGGAGTCCACGTTTACCCATCTTTAGACATTTTTTTTCTACAGCTAGTAAACCCCCCAGCATGTTAACCTATGTGTCCATGCACACATAGACTGTAATCAACGTTTTTTGGCAGGGACGTTTTATGTCTGGGAAAAAAACCCCAGGACTAGTGGGTTTTCTAGAGAATGTTTTTAGCTGCAAAAACGCTCTAATGTTGAAACCGGCATTTTTGGATGTTTTATTTGGTCAAAAAAAGGGCAAAATGCCACTAAACGCTAATGCAAAAATGCTAAAAAAAAAAGCTGAAAAACTCACATTTTTAACGTGACTGTACACAGCTAACGTTACCAGCGTTATCAAAACACCCAGTGTGCATGAAGACTCAATATAATTAAAGGCAGAATAACATAAAAAAAAAAAATTTCTTCTCGGTCTGCAAAAAACAAAACTGGAAACATTTTGCATGAACTGCATACTCTACTGTTGTCTCATGAAATGCTGTTGAACAAAGAAGACCATATGCGTAAGTGAGAGCAATCTTAATGACAGCTGGATTAAAGTAGCTAGGGGAATATGCTGAACTTTTATGCAGAGCAAGAAATAGAGATAGAGAGAATTCTGTGAACCTAAGCCAACCCCTGTTGAAGAAAGGTCAGCTGTTATGCGCCATTTTTTAAATATCTGGTAGACGTGCTGTATATTTTGTGCCATACAGCTCACTACAATAAAATTCAGCATAACTGCAAATATATTTGGATTTTTGTATCATTGTAAAATCCTTTCTTTGGAGTCCCCTGAGAGACAGAGGAGTTCTTGGTCCATAGGGTTACACTGCCACGTATAGGAAATAGACAGTTGCAGCAGAAGCCATTGGCCAGAACATGTTAACCACACCCACTACTATCATGTCTCAGTTTTGTAGCAAAGCAGAACAAACAGCATGAAATAAACACAGGGGGAAGGAACCTGTGTCCCTTAATGTACTTTGATAAATGGATTTTACAATGAATACAAAACTGTAGGGATATCCAAAAGCAATCCAACAAACGGGTGGGCAACATAGAAAAAAAGTCTAACAGGCTCCTGAAAAAAAAAAAAAAAAAAACAATAAAAAAACTAGGGACTGCCTGGAGTTTAAATAGCAACCTAAAGGGCCTAATGCCTGAAATTGGCACTGGGTGAGCCCTGAATATCTGCCTGGTAATGAAAAAATACTACATGGTATCCTTGCAAACTAGGAAAACTTGTGTAATGCCGAAAAGGGCAAAAAGCAATCAAAGGACTAGTAGGGTGCACCTTGCCAGGAAAGGCTGGAATCCTATCCTAAAAGACCATAAGACTGAATGATGATCTGTCTTAAGGTAGCTGGAGATGGCAGACCAAGAAGTCTTACAGGTTCCATTCGGAATACAAAAGGAATCAGTCTTCCTTTAGAAGCAATAGCTGAGAGATATACTCTGATAGCTCAACCACATCCTGACAATATAAGGAGATTTCCCTCTGGTGGACAGAAGCTGGACAGGAATAAAAGAATGTCCTGGTTGAGTTGAAAGGCAGAAACTACCATACATTTCAGACAGTTTAGGCAACCAGTTTGGACACTAATCTTGTAGACATGACAGCTACATGAAACACTGCCTTGTAGGTGAGAGTAAAGAGGAATGCCTCTAATGGGTTCACATGGTGAGAGAACCAGATTAGGATCCTGCGGAGTCACAGGGAATGAACAGGGGAAGCAACATAGGAGACTCCCTGTACAAAGAATTAAAGCAAGGAATGAAAGCCAATGGTCCCTGAAACAAGACAGTACAATGATAGAGTCTTAGCAGGTCAGCATACAAGCAATGAAGATAACCAGAATGCCCTCCAGCTTGCTCCTGCAAACCAGATGCGAAAGAGGTTTCAGTGGAGGAAAGACTCATCAAAGTCACCACAGTGAAACAAGTCCCGGAACACCTTAGGTGTAGGGAGCAGTACCCCAGGTCCAGATGAGGACGTCCAGCTGCTGATCATTAATGTCTGGGTGAAAAAGGGGGAATGTGAATTTCTGCCCAGGATAGGATCAGAACTACTTATGTTGTCGCAGGGGAACTGTCATTTCAGATGTATGCTACCACCATGGCGTTGTCCTAACTAAAACCGGATCAGGCGACCTTCAAGGCGGACCTACAGAATGGTTCAGTGCTGTACAGACAGCCAAGTCACCCTAAATTTTAGAATGCTGATCAGGAAATTTGACTCCTCCTCAGTCCAGGTCTCCTACATTAACAGGGAGACCAGGACTCCTGCCCAACTTGATAGTCTGGCAACCGTAATGAGGATCCTCCAGAATATGGGAATGAAGGAATTTCCTGATTCCAGAGCCAGCTTCCTGAGCAACCAGGCTGGAAACAATTTGGTCTCCTGTGCCAAAGTAAAAGATCATCCAGGAACTTGATTGACTTTTCACACGATGACAGAATGTTGCATTGTAGAGATATTGTTTGAAACTGGGCAAATGGAACGGTCTTGAAGAAGGCTACCATCACCAAGACTCTCATGCAAAATCATCTTGAGCAACTGCTGGACTGTAAAACTCAAATCTGTGGCCAGAGAGTAACGTTTCTCTGTGGAAGAAACACTCTTGCCTAAGTTGTGTCCAGGACTAGAACCAGATACTCAGATATTCTAACCAATGAGACAGTTCCAGAAATGATTTCTAAAAAGTTCAGGATCCACCCAAACCACTGCAACTTCTGAACAGCCAAAGCCACACTACCCAACAGAAGCCTGTGTCGACTGATCCTTCAGCATGAGCTCATCCAAAGGAGATTCTACTGTATGGGTGCACAGCAGTGTTTATACTAGGGCTAACACCTTGGATAACACCCTACGTATAGATGAGAGGCTGAAGGGCAGGCCCACTAACTGGTATTGTAAGGACCCCATAGTAAAATGTAGGAAATGCAGATGTGCTGTAGATATTGGTACATGTAGGTATGCAGCCCCGATGTGCACAAGTCAGAAAGCCTCCCTAGTAAAGGGAGGCAATGACAGATACAGCAGATTTGAAGAAGACATTCAGAACTTGAAAGGGGGGGGTGAGTACCCCCTTTGTGTATGGGAAAGGTGAGCTGTTTGGAGAAAATACTCTGTAACAGTTTTTCACAGGCACTGGAGCAATGACCCCTTGATCCAAAACACCTGAAAAGGGCTTGATGGAGATCTGCTAATCTGTAAGGTGATATTGGAACGTTTTAGGGGATAGAGAGCAAAACTCCAGTGTGAAGCCCTTGGGCCGCATTTCCTGCACCCAAGTGCGCCCTCAATCTGGAATATAAGGGCGCATCTGCATGCTGGAAAGTGCTGGTCTGAGAATTTGGCAGACTTTGCAGGCAGACTAGGAATTTAGCCTAAAGTGTCTCAACAAGGAGGCAAAGAAATGGAAAGAACATTTCTTAACAGTCAGTCAGAGAGGGGGAAGGCTTCTTCCACTGGGTGCTCTTGCCACCAGTACCATTCTAGATGAGTAGTATCTATAACTGATCCAAAGAGATGTTTTCCCATAAAGGCTATGCAGAACAAATACTTTTGATACAAGAATTCTGCAGTCCAGCACCTTAAGCAAGGTGCCCTCACATGAGTACTGACAGACAACCATGTGATAGCAAAGTCCAGAAGATTTTAGCAGACCAGCACATCTGAAATTAAACATTATAGCAGTTTATCCAAGCGTACTTTAGAGGTAAACAAGGTACAAATTGGAGCCATCACTAATTAATGAGGAAAATATGCAAAATGAGGAAAACTAATTTTTAGATCTTGGTATTTTAGGTGTAGACCAAAACTGATCTAAATCATTGTTCCTTCCTTCCCAAGGGCAGATAGAATCCACAAACTGTGTAATAAAATATCTGCAGGGGGAGGGGCGTGAGCATGGGTCTCTGCGGCTACATGAAATAGGAATTACCGACGCCCGTAATGGTACTCACCTGACCTCTAGACTTTGCTGAATTGTGGTGTTCCCAATCTGAAGACCCCCATGGATTGCTGAGCAGCTGGAGGGGGGAGAGAGACCCATTGGAGCCTGGGTTGTGCCCAGTTAGAGGTGACCGGTGTGGCTTGCAGTTCTGGTGGAGCCGGGGACCCATGCCGCTGGAGGAAGCCCCATGAGTCGCTGTGCGGAGAGAGACCTGGCAGAAGAGTGGAGGCGGCCAAGTAGACCCACATAACCGATCAGGTGATCGGGACAAGGAAGCCTGGAAACCTGGGAGGCCAGTGCTGGATGGAGCTGTACGGAGCCAGCCCCGGGGTCAGAAGAGGAGACCTGAGGTGGAGGCCATAAGGCCGGGGAGCCCCCGAACACCAAAGGAGATTGCCAGAGACCCCTGAAGACAACAACCAGCAGTTGACATCCAGACGGTAGATGCAGGACATAGGAGCTGGTGAGTTGCCGCTGGAGGCAGTAAATCCCCAATGCTGAGGTCATGTATGCTACTGTCGTTGCTGGGAGAAAGGTGAACATAAAATAATCAGCTAAGGGGTCTCAGAAGCTAAATGGAGCTTTATGAAAACAAGTTTATGTGAAAAAAGGAGGAGGCACCAAAGTAGTGTAAGGTGAAGAAGGAAAAGAAGGGAACACCAGAGAACTCTAACCCTCAAAAAGATTAGGAGGGGAAAGACACTAAGAGAGATCATTGTTGCATGTAAGGACCCAGGGAAACTGGAAATAAAGTTTTACCTGAAGCTATAAGTACCTGTTGAACTTTAAGAATATGAAGAGTAGATCTGTCAAAAGGAGGAGGAGCAAAAACTCCACAACCGAATTTAAATACAAGCACAATAAAGATGTATATGCCTTTGCATGGGGAAAGCCCAGAGGAACAGACCCCAGAGAGTCACGGTGAAGCAAATTGTA